TAGGCATTTGAGGACACTAAATCTATAAAAACAAAGCCCTAAATGAGTCCAAATCCAGGACTCATCAATAAAGACTACCAAACATGGAACTCTATATAGCCTATAAGCAGCATACATATGATGTACTTCCTAAACATTTCAATGATTTTGTTGTGTTCATGGATTATCTTATCGACTCAGACAAAGATGTGAATGTGCTTCGTGGAAAAGGAATCATAAGCAATCAACTAGGAGAGGACAATGAAGTAGCTAACATCATTAACAAAATTGGGCAAGGGGTCAATATCTCTAGTGATTTCTATTACAAAGAAGAACGTAGAGAAGTTTGTAGAAGAAGTAGAATATTATTCCGAGCCCACAAGTTGTTTGTGTGTCTTTAATTAAGAAATTATAACCCCCTCACTGGTGCCATGGTTTCAGGTTACTTCCTCCTAGGATAGAATGGCGGAATAACATTTGTGTAATAGCGGGAATGAAATTACAAAACCCCGATGAACTCAACAAACAAAGTAAATCACATGACACTTCATGCTTTATTTAAAAATGACATTTTCCTTATTTCCTATTCATACCTCATATCCCCAAATAATCCTCCATTATTTCATACATATATTTAATTGTCATAATACATAAACATGACCATTAACTTGGCTTCAACGGATAACTATGTCCTCCAACTTTGAATTTGCACAAGTAGGCACTTAAACTTGCAAAATGGTCTCCACAGAGAGGGTTTAAGGGACCTCATGTAACATGTTATTGTTTGTTGGGAGGTATAAAAATCTTGGGCTGCTTGTAAGTACATAGAGAAGAATAAATTCTATTATTATCAGATGATAAAGCATTGTATATGGAACACCAAATTAAAGTTGTCATTAATGGATGACTCTTGGCCTATCCTATGCGATAAGATAGAAAGAATCAATTTATAATATGATACTGTAGCTTTATTTATTCTAGGCATATATATAAATATGTCTTTTTACTTGGACTCAATAGACATCTAACCTTATGTGTGGACAATAGACACACACGTTTTATATGGCATAAAACACATAGGATGCTATGGAGAATCTACGCTTGTGTTTGTTCAATTCTATACAGGTTTAATTAATTCAATAATATTGAAGCTTTATTTATTCTATGATTTATGTATTATACATTTATTCAGTGATACTGAAGCTTTATCTATTCAATGATTTATGTATTATTCATTTATTCTATGATACTGAAGCTTTATTTATTCCATGGTACTTTTCTCAAAAATGTACATTATTTGATGTTAGTAATATAGGTAGGCTTGCAATCACACGAAGGGAAATCTATATATAATCAGAGGCGTATCTAGAGGGGGTGCCGTGGGTTCACGTGAACCCATGCTCCCCTCTCTAGATCATTTATATATTTTTTAAAAAATATTTAAATATAGATGTGTGAACCCATGTTCAAAGTATCATATAATAATATGATGATGATTAGATGCACCTCTCTAACTGAGGATAGAAATTTAAATCTTATATCTATCTTGTCTTTTTGAGTAACACCACTCCAAGTGGTTATCGGTGACACTTTTGACGTTTCAACTTAATTTTTCTTTTGTATTTTTTGCCTTTAATCTTTCAAAATTTTCAAGTGTCTTACATTTGAAAAATTCCTAAAAAATTAAGCACTGTAATTTTTTATATAATTAAATCAATGTGTATATTAAAATTTAAAACTAATAGTATTATATATTTTGAATCTATAGTTTTAAAATTTAATGGTTCATATTTAGAGCCTAAAAGTCAAATGATCAAATTTATATTTAAGATACATTTCTTCGTACTCGTGCACCCATCTAGCCGAAATCCTGGATACGCCTCTGTATAATACTCATAGAGGTCGTTTGGTAGAGTGTATTAGGAAAAATAACGCATGCATTAGCATTGTGTATTACTAGTACCTTGTTTGGTACTCTTTTCCAACCTATGTATAACTAATGTTTGCATTAGTTAAATAATTATAATAAGAATAATTATAATAATAATAATTATAATAATATTAATTATAATAATAATAATGTGAGGGTATTTTTGTAAACAAATATTTTTTAATAGTCTTTATACAAGGCTTGCTATTTCCAATACATCAAACCAAACAATGTATAAGAAATAATGCAAGCATTACTAATGCTTGCATTACTAATGCATGCATTACTAATACATCATATTCAGCATTATTCTTATAAACTCTACCAAATGACCCCATATAGTATAATTTTTTATTCAAGTTGAGCAGAGAAGAATTTAAGAAGAAACTCAAGTACACTGCAAGTGGTCTATTTTCAATTTATAAATAGACAAATCAAAAAGGTAATTATTATTTTAAATGTTTTACACATGCACCATTTTATGTATGTACTTATAGTTATATATAGGCAAAAGGCATAAATTGCCCCCTAAACGTATACCCAAAAGTCATTTACACACTTTAACTAATGAGGTGACCTATTACACACCTTAAGTACATAAAAGTATATTTATTTTCCCCTTTCGTCACCCAACCCAGGGCGCGTTTCGCTCCACATAGTTGAGCGCGTCAACACGCTAATAAAGTCATTTTTATTTATTTTTTTAATTAAAAAAATCTAACCCAACGGTTATATTCCCATTCCCTTCACATAACCCACCCACCCGACCCTAATGAACAAAACCCCTAAATTTTCACCCAAAAATCTGAATCAAGAACCCTAAATTCAAACATAGTTCAAAATTCCTTCTTTTGAATCAAAGGTAACTCTTTTTCATTATTATTCATTCATCTCTTTTCCATTTTGATTC